AAACACCAGCTCTGGCCTGTTGGGGAGACCCCACTGCCAAGCCTCCCAGATGCCAAAGTCACAAGCATCACCCTTCAGGGGCTGTGCTGAATAGCCCTGAATAGCTGAAAACCAGGTCACCTGGTTTTCCTAAGAGAGAATCACCTATCTTTCCATGAAGCCCAGGAGGTGGGCCAGAAAACGGGCCCCACAACAGCTCATTTCTGTGAGGAGTGCAGGAGGGAATGCAGAACTGCAGGAAATACTGTTCTTTCATTCAGCTTCCTTCCTTTTTTTTTTTTTTCTATCTAGCACCAGGCTCTGGGAACACAGTGCTGAGTTATGACCTGGTCCTCAGCACTTCCTGTCTGGCTGGACATTGACAAAGATTCTCTTTTTAACCAAACTTTAGTTGGGCTTCTGAACCTTCCAGAAAAAACAAGTTTAGTAAAGAGCTCTTCTAAATCATTATAACAAGAGTCCCCCACCTTTGATGTATGCTTATCCTTGCTGTCTGACGAGGTTCCTCACCTCTGCCATCCCCAGGTGGTATTTGACCACCCCGGCTTGTCTTCAGAAAGAATTGTTAGGTTGCTTGAGCGAACAAATTTCCTTCACTGCTGCTGTTACCCTTGACCCCAACCTACTCTGTCTATAAATCCCCACTCGCCTGTGGATTCACAATCAAGCCAATCTCTCTGCCTCACTTCACAATGCCATTGTTGGGATCCCTGTACCTATCACAGTGGTCCTGAATAAAGTCTTCCTTGTCATGCTTTAACAAGTAAGACTGAATAATTTTCTTTAACAAAATATAGCTAATGCCGACCAAAAAGTGAAAAGTTGAACATCATAGTGAATTACAACTAGTTGAATATGTTGAATGAGCTGTTAGTCTATTGTGGTGAAATGCACTAAAGGTTGTACAACAAATAATGAACAAATGTGTTTTCATCAATGTCCAAATGGAGGAAAATAGAGGACTTAATTTGTGTTCTCATCAACACGTTTTGTTGTTGTTTTGTTTGGTGGTACTGGGATTTGAATTTAGGGCCTCACACTTGCTAGGCAGGTGCTCTTACTGCTTGAACCACTCCACCTGCCCTTAATTTGTGGTTTTTTTAAATTCACACTAAAATCAATGTTAAAAGAGACATGATGGGTATTTGATAGGAGATAAGAATTCAAGAGGTGGGCATAATGCACCCCTATAATCCCAGCACTCAGGAGGCAGGAAGATTGTGAGTTTGAGGCCAGCCTGGGCAATATAGCAAGACTCTGTCTCAAAAAACAAAACAAAACAAAAAAACAACAACAAGAGAACTTTGGGATCATAGGTATGAGTTTCTTTTGGAAGGAAAATAAATTTAGAAATGCACAAATATCAGTACTTGGGGAGGTTTGGTTAGCATTAGTTACAGAAGATGGATTGGAGGAAGGAAATGCTTCAGGGCCAGGCAGTAGAAATAGGACAGTTAAATGCAAGGAACTAGTAGAGTTCAGTAAGACACTGGGGGAAGATGCCCCTAAATACTGACAGCTGTGAGGACAAGAGAGGGCCCAGAACATGGCCAGGGTTTGTCCAGATGGAGCAAGGGAAGGGCATAGCTGAGACTGAAGGTCTCACTGTAAGCATCCCTCCAGCAGGCAATGAATTAGAAAACTCACATACAGTGGAAGTAGAAAGTGACTTGGAATCAATCGTTGGTCTAATGAGTTTTTCTTCTGGGGAAGATATGGGTGAACTTTGGGAACTGTTTGTGCCAAGGACAAAGAATCAAATCACTAAGACCAAGAGCTTGCCTCATGCTCAGAGGGCTGCATTGAGTCTTTGGGCTCCTACAATATCTTAGGGACTGCAGATGTCTCCTGGTGCATCTCCCATAGTCATGACATGGACGGAACAAGCAATAAGACAGGTGTCTACAGATTCATAGCTCCCCATACACCCTCACGCAAGGGAGGAAACCTGAGAGGCAGGAACGTGATGTAGAGACCGCTTCCTCCCCACCTTTTTTCCACAGCTTGATAAGACTGTCTGCAGGGCTGTGGACAGTAACGTATAGAAAAGGGATGTGAGGACGGCAGACATCTTAAGGCATGTCTTGAGCACTTAGGTTAAAAGCAGTAAAGCATTATTTGGCAATAAAATGGAATGGAGTACTGGTACCTACCACAACATGGAGGAACCCAGGAAACATTAGCTGAGTGAATGAAGAAGCATGTGCGTGTGGTTCCATCAACATAAAATGCCCACAACAGGTAAATATTGGCGATGCCTCATCCCAACCTATTTTTCCGGCCTCCTTCTCCTTCCTTACCCACCCCTCACCCTACTTAAGCAGCATTTGCTCTCTCCTCAACAAATGACCTGTTCCTGACAAATCCAGGTGCTAGACTTCCATGCCTTTGCACACATGGTTTCTTCATTCTTCATTATCTTTGACTACAGGTACGCACAGCTTCAATGCAAATATTAAACTCAACTGAACAGTCCCAATGCCTGCTGGTGACAGCCTCATCCCCACTCAAACCCGAACTCAGATTTGAACTCTCTGGGGTCCTAGCCCCATAGAATATTGGGCCTAGAATCAACCTTCGAGGTCGCCAAGTCCTAGTTCTGTCCCTTCATGTAATAGAGCAGGACACTGAGGCTCAAGAGCATAAGTGACTTATTCCAAGTACGGGAGCGCAACGGACCTAGGTATACATTCAACATTGCCTTACATTCAACATTGCCTTACATTCAACATTTTTGCAGTTCTTTTTTTTTTAGCAGGGGAGGTGATACTGGGGTTTGAACTCAAGGCTTCCTGCTTGCTAGGCAGGTGCTTAACCACTTTAGTCACACCTCCAGCTCAGTTTATTTTGATTAAGCAAATATTTACCAAAGATTTGCTATATGCCTATGTTTTATTGTGTTAACTCATTCCTTAAAAATCCATATCACATTATTTCACGTGATAGGTGCACATGTCTCTTTGTGGTTCAACCTCTGCTTCCCATTACAGCTTCACTCCCTGCTAACCCCATGTTCGACCATCCAGCCATTTTAAAATGATTGATGATCAATGATGTAGTCACAAATGCAAAAACTTTGGATTTGGGGTTTCAAACAGGTCTCTGCTACTTAGCTATATGACCTTGGGAAATTTAATCCATCTTTCAGAGCCTCTGTTCTGTCATCTGTAAAGTGGGTTATAATGCCTGTCTTCTTAGGTCATTGTGAGAATTACCTGATTATTTAAAAGGCATTTATGTATCATTACTGGTAAAACTCATCATTTTAAATGACAGTTCTTGCTTTCTTCAGGAGTAAGGTGCCCCTTTCTTTATCCACAGATCCTGGCTTACCTCTTTAACAGCCTGAATTCCTGTTAAATGTCTACTCTACCATTGAGCTATGAGCTCTTGGAGAACAGCCCTTTTGTTTGTTTGACTTGATATCTCCAGCACGCAACAAACACAACCTCCCCAGTTATCAAGACCCCCACAAGAGTGATAGATACGTTAGAATAGATGAACCTACACTAATAAGTCGCTATCACCCAAAATCCATGGTTTACAGCAAGACTTTTAATGTTATACATTATAAGGATTTTTTCTGACTTATAAGGTTATATATTTGCTATTAGAGCATCATACGGATTAATCTCACTGCCTTAAAAACCACAGATTCCTCCTATTCATCCTTCCTTCCTTCCAACCCCAGCAATCACTGATCATCTTACTGTCTCCATTTTTTTTTTTTTTTTTGCTGTGGTGTTGGGCTTGAACTCAGGGCCTACACCTTAAGCCACTCCACCAGCCCTATTTTTGAGATAGGGTCTCACAAACTGTTTGCCTCAGCTGGCTTCAAACTGCAATCCTCCTGATCTCTGCCTCCTGAGTAGCTAGGATTATAGGTATGAGCTACCAGTGCTGGTATCCATTACTTTTTACTATTCCTGAATGTCATATAGTTGGAACAACAAAGTATGTACATTTTTCAGATTTCACTTAGTAATATGCATTTGTTTCCTATCATTTCCTTGCTTCATAGCTCTTTTCTTTTTGTCACTGTCTTGGAGGTACCAGTGTGTTTACCCATTTAAATACTGAAAGACTTCTTGGCCACTTTCAAATTTTGTCAATTATGAATGAAGCTACTAGAAACATCCATGTGCAGGTTTTTGTGTGAACACCAAGGAGTACAACCCCTGGTATTTTAAAAACCTAGTGTCTTCAAAAGTGGCTCTCCTGCATCTGTTCCCACCAACAGTGAGTTCTGCCTGCTCCACATGCTAGCCAGCATTTCATGATGTCAGTGTTTTGAATTTCGGTGTAAGTAATGTTTCATTGTAGTTTTAATTTAGGCATCTAGTTTTTAAGAAATTACTCTTCACTTTATGGGGCTTTTTTTGGGGGGGGTCGTTGTTTTAAAATTTTGCTAAGCAAAAGCAGATTTTTTTTCATTATTAAAAAAATGACCTTACACAAAGAGTAAGGCAGGCTCAGAACTGGGACAGGGAGAAGAGGAAGTGGGCCTCTTGTACCTAAAGAAGAATTCAAGAGGGAGAAGATGATGATATTGAAGAAGGGGAAGAGAAAGAAAGGTCTTGGGTGGGGTAGGAAGAAGAAATAAGATGTTGAAGATGACAGAGGTGAAGATGACTAGATCATCCTAACCTAAGATGCCCTAATGATCCTGGGTGTACATCTTTGTTTCTTCATGTACAATTAGCTATACCTACTAGAAAATATTGTGCTATTTTTTATACTAAAAGGGTGAATTTTTACTATTTTTGTCTTATTCCAATTAAAACTTGCTAGTTTAATGATCATATTATATGTAGAGAAAAAATTTCATTAACACCCCACCCCACTGTGAAATTCTCTACCAATGTATTTGGAACTTTAAATTTTCTGATTCAAGCTCACAATATTACATATTTACTCTGCAATTAAAACATGATTGCCTTTTTAAAAAATGACCTCACAAACATGTTTTAAGACTTTGTCCCTTTTTCTTTCAAATATAGGTAAATGCAGAGGGAACACCAGAAGAAGTTTTTCTTCAACTCTGCACAGCTATTGACTCTATTTTCTGAAGGTGAAAATGGATGTATGTTGAGGAATGGAGACAAAGAAAACATTTAAAAGTTATTCCCTGAACACAATGTTTCAAGTTAAGCCTTTTGTGTTCCCCCCCCACCCCAAATCCTGACATGGCTGTTTTGTGTCCCAGCCAGACTTGTGTGAAGGATGTCTGGAAATCATGCATGGGGCATTTGGGGCTGTCAACCTTTCCTCATACTTCAGACTGTCCCCACTCCAGCACGCACACTTTTCTAATATCATGTAGATTGCACCTCAGAGCAAAGTCAGTATGTGAACAGCAATACAGTGCTAGTCTGTCAGCTGTGCCCCCTCCACCCCAGACCTGCTGGAGTCTGACCGCCTGGTTCTCATCTCACCAAACAGGGAGCAAGTATCCGTAACTCCCCATCACATCTTCCTTCTTCTCCCCAAGATTTCTATGCTCTTCCCTGGCAAAGGTCCTCAGCATGGGGGGTAGGCTTAGGCATCTTGCTCTGGTGGCTGGCTGCTTCTTCAGTTCCCATCCACTAGTGGCTACAGCCAGAGAGAGCTGACTAGACAGTGCCCAGTATACCATGTCCAAGCATTAAGCAAGTAAAACCTGACAGAGATATTGTTAAATGTCAAATTGTACGGCTTTTCCAAGATGGCAAAACCTAGGTTAGTCATCAATAACACTCTAATGATGTTTAGGAAGATGGCTACTTGGAATAGTGTCATAATGGCTAACAGAACAGAGTAAACTTAATCAACTGTATAACCATTCTCCTTTCTACATGGTGGTACACTGCAGCAATTATAAATTAATCTCAATGACCAAAAATAATCTAAAAGCATGAAATGATTTATTTCATTCACTAGACAAGTATCTTCTTCTAACTTTGATTTTAAATGATCACCCATTTGTTTATTGCCAAGCAAATAAAAAACAGACTAACAATAACTGATGTGAGCGGGAAGGACATGTGAGTAGCAGGTCTTTGGTAGACACCAGTGTTACATGTGTTTCACATGGGCCCCTTCTAGGGGTTTGCAAACCCTGCATTAAACCGGTGACATTTGGGCCTCTTGTGCTATCAGTTGTCAAATAAGAGCTTCGTCTATATTCTACTGAAGTAACTGCATCTTCCACTCAGTCACTACAAAAGACCACAGTTCCCATTTGCATGATATTTTTTCTTCTTCAATGGTTGTGCAAATAAGGATCCATTTCCAGGACAGAATTGTATTTTTAAAGTCTTTTTTTTTTTTCTTTCTTGAAACAGATATGTACAAATAAAATAAATGGAAGACAGCATTAATTCTTTTTCTATTTATTTGTAACTCACATCATTCTGGAAAGCATTTGAAGCCTTAATTCCAAACAGAATTAGAAGCAAATACAGTAATAGTTGAAATTTATGATCTGTTTATATGGTTTTAATTTTGGCCACAGGCCAGATTTGAGCTATTACAGAAAGAATTCTTAATGTATTTGTGATACATGATAATTTTCATATTTCCATTTTCTCTAGCATTCGTTCTTAAACAGAAATGTCAGTGTTTGCTAGAGAATAAATTAAAATTCTTTGGTTACAATTAGGCCTCTATTAACAAAAAAGGTGCAGCATGTTCCCACAACTCACACAGTTGTCAAATACTTTATTACTACCCCAACTTGTCACACTCTTTGTAGGGAAGCATAAGGAGTATTTGAGCAGAGTAGAAAAGTGTTACAGGGTAAAAACTTATCAGTTGTGCTAGCAAACATAAAATGACTCTTTGTAAGAATTAACATTCTTCAAACACACACCACATATTGGCAAACAGTCCATGCCCACCACAGCTTTGCCAGGTGGGTAAGGGAAATGAAGCAGCAGAAAGGCAGACAGGCCCAGCCATGGCTTTTATAGTTGGCAGCCGTCTTGGAAAAAAACAAAAACAAAAAAAGCTGCAGAGGTAAATGGCATTACCCCCAAAGAGTATCTAGGGTGTAATACACATGGCTGATCTGAATAGCTTAAAATGGCATCACTACTAAAGTCATAGGATTTTAAAACCGGAGAGGACCTTAGCGGTGTCTACCTAGCAAAAGGTCATGTGTGTATGTGGAAGACATCAGAACACAAGCCAAACTCCTTTATAATAACCTACATTCAATCAAGGCCACTCCTGACTTGGCCCTGTGCCCTCTCTGACCCCACTAATTACTCTTGCTCATTTGGCTTTCTCAATGTTGCCTGAGCAGATCAAGCTCTTTACTGGCTCAGGGTCTTTGCCACTGGTACCTTTCTGCCCCTACCCACACAGCAAACTCCCGCATTCCACTCAGGTCTCTGACATTCTAATTTACCCTTGTTGTCAAGGTTTTATTTGATTATTCTATCTAAAATGACAGTGTTCCCCATTATTATTTGTCTTCAAGTATCATTTTTCCTTATAGCACTCTCTCCCTCAATTAAGTAATATTTTAAATTTTACTTGTGTATTGCTTGTCTTCTCCATAAAGGCAGAGCTTTGTACTTCCAGTCCCACACATGACAATTAAACTGAAAGCTAACATATTTAATTCTCTCTGTACCTCTAGTTTTTCCATTTGAACAGTGGAGATCGTAATAGTAAATGACCTCACAGAGGAGTCATGGGGGTTAGACAAGTTAACAAACCATGTAAATCATTTACCAGCTCGCAGAACTCAATTAAAAGTGGCTCTCTATCAACACTAAGTGCTTCACTTCCACAACCCAGATTTTTTCCACTACAGTATCTTTTCCATTCAAATTACTCAGCAAACACAATAGAGAATCAAGACACATGACCTAACTGGGGTCCCACACTAGACTAAAACCTTCTCTAGCCACACAGGCTAGAACACAATCCCCTGTCCTCTTGGGGCCCTGTAAGGGATCTTCTGAGTCAAGCCCTCTAAGAGTTATACTCATACTCAGGCATAGATGCCAACTGTTACCTTCCTAGAGAAAAAAGTATAACTCACCAAAACAATGGTCATACAACCAGCAAATATTTATGGAGAATATGAAAAGCCAGGCCCTAGAGACACAGACAAACATGGATGGTCACTGTGCTCCTGAAACCAAATACAACATAACTTTCAAAACTCCATTTATGCAGCTACTTGAACTGTGGGGAAAAAGTTGTTATTTTCTGGGATCATATGAACGGCAGTACCTTTTTCATCAAGGAAAGAAAAAACAACATTTCATATCTAAAAAAGGATAATGTCTCCATAATCTTGTGGGAAAAGCTACTTATAACCTGGAGACTCTCAATTTCATCCAGTGCACCTAGAATAATGGGTTTAGAACTCATCCACAGTAAGAAATACAGTTTATATAGCATGTCTCACATTTATAACTGAAAAAGAAATACCACAAAACAATACTTATCTTTACTAGATGTGATATACTATTTTCTCTATTTTATTTTTTTTTTAAAGTTCCTCATACATGGTAAGCTGTGTTCTGTGATTTAATTTAAACAAAAGGGGAAGGGGAGAGATCCGGTCAAGGCTAAGTGAGAAGCACTCAACATGCATGTGTTTTTCTGATTCATTGTGGCAGAGGACATTTCAGTGGTTTTCCTCCATCTACACACAGTGGGTACACACTGTGCTACAAACCTTGACATATGCTCAGATTTGTACTCTAGCAACCATACCATGCCAGGAAGAAAGATTTAAAAAAAAAAAAAGAACCTGCACTCCTAACACCCCAGTGGTGCCTGACACAACAGGAACACTCTTGCTCGGTTAAGAGGGTAGTGAGGCAGACCCTGACACTGGACTAATCTGTCAAGGTTAAAGTCAAGCCTCACCACTTTACTAACTATATGACCTTGGGCAAGTTACTTTTCAACTCTGTCTAGAAGAGAGTTATGAAAATGGGATAATAAATGAACCTGCCTCATGGTTGCTAAGCATTAAACAGGTTACTACTATATGCTTACTTGTCACATCATAGGCACTAGATCATGGGTGTTGGTTATTATTAGTGTGTATCACACCAAAGGAAACTTCTCTCCCTAAACTTTTTAACAGTGGTTTTAGGTGCCATTAAATATTTGTTTAGTTATTAGTAAATAACTTGAGTATAATAGGCCAGAAAATAAAATCTGACCTATCGAAGACCACCTAATAAGCAATGCTTTAACAAGTGGATCTCTTATGGTCCTGTTGTCTCTTATAGTCAATATTTCTTGGCAAATGACAGTCCTGCCCACTCCTGCAACCCTCAAATGAAAACAACACAACAAAACGTTACTGCTGCTACTACTACCCTTTAGGCCTTTTAAAATCATGGGGATGATTTGCTTGGAGCTGAAAAATTCAAAAATAAATACACCTTCCGTTCACACTGAAAATAATCTTTTTTCACCAAAGTCTTAAACCTTTGCCTGTGAAAAATGCATTCAAGTGGGTTTCTCCATTCTACTTATATAATATTGTATCACTCACAGCCTTCTTCCAAAGCATACTTCATAGGATTTTTGAATGGATCTTAATTGTTCTTCAAAACTCACAGGTATTATTTCTATAAAAACACAGAAGTTACCATCAAATGCTACTGCCTTTCTAAGTTACAGGTTAAAGGCAGATCTTCTGGAATATGCACTAATATTTAATATAAAAATGTCCAGAATGCTAGCAATTCCCCTCTTCCAGGGTGAGAAGCCCATCTGCTTTTCTTTCTGATTATGATACATTGCATAAACATGCTCAGTAAACTTTAATCAGTATATTACTTCAAAATCTTCATATTTCTATATTTAAAATTCTATTATTTTTCATAATTAAAAAAAATTCAGGGTAGATTTTAGTACCCTGCTATGTACTGAAGAGAACTAGCAAATACTGTTCCCTAGGTTTAAAAATGGGGGGGTGGAAGAGGAGGGAAAACAAGTGACTCTAAAAATCAGGTCAAGTTTAATACTTAATCATCTTGGAATATTTATACTACATTTTCCTAGTCAATAATAATTTCCAGGAAACCATCTGTTTAAATACATGGGGACTTATTTTCATCAAAAACAACTAGAATGAAAATTTCAACTTAAGTTTAGCTTCCACATTTGGGCATTAATAATTGCCTTTTCCTTAACTCATGGTCAGTTTCTTTTTTGTAAGCTAGTTTAATTTAGTGTTTCAGCACACACTGATTGAAAACACTACCATCCTTTACAGATCTTGTCAAGTTCACTCTCTTTTCCATAATATATTCTTTACTCTTTATAAAGAAAAGAAAGAAAACCCTAATTATATATGAGAAACAGACCCTTAAAAAACTTCTGGTTTTAACATTGGTTAAAAAAAAAATCCAAAGCTAACCAAAAGGAAGTCACAACAAGGATTCTATAATATAAACAGACAGTATCCACATAGTTTATTTCTCACAGTTCTCCTGACAAATGAACATTATTCAAGAACATACTGCATACACAGATAAGAAGAAACATACAAAATGTTTTAAATGATGCACAACAAAATCCAGCAGTATAAAAGAATGCATGTGAACTCTTGCTCACTGCGTAGACTAAATTTAATCACTTGTTTAAATAGTAATAAAAATACAATCTTTTATGGATCTTGTGCAGACTACAAAAGAGGGAAATTATTACCATATATATGATTTTTATATTAGGCAGTTTTCTTTGATGAGTTGTACTCACAACTCCAAATACAGAGGCAGAGGCTGTGTATTTTAAAGGAATTAATGTTGTGAATTAGACTTTACACAGTTACTACCACTGGCACTTTTCACCATAGTTTGTACACATCACATGATCATCTTATATAACATTACATTTAAAAAATATATCTGAGTGACAATTTTATAACATTCACACACCATGAGCTGGTTAAGGAAGCAATGCCACAGTTGCCTCCTGTAGTGCTTCACTGTTGGTAATAAGGACAGTTCATTGTGGTTAAAAGAAGTTAGGTATCAATATGGTTAAGCAGCTCCAATTTACTAAAGGCCATCAATGACCACCACTGGGACAGTGAGTTCTTTTAGAGTATATATCCTAGAAGCAAACACCATCATTGGTTAAAACTTTGTCTAAAGAAGTCAGTTTCTGCGCTGAAAACTATTTCCACAAAACTGAAAGCTACTAAACTGTTTTAATATAAATACTCTGTTTTCTCATTATATTTATGACCAAGTTCTTTGAAACCTTTGGAATTTACTCTCACTTTAATGTGTGCTCTCACTTCCATCTTACCCATTTAAGATGACCACCTATAGATTTTCTGGTGGTGGTGAAAATTCACCAGGGAAACCCTTTGCTCACCAAAATTCAACAGGGAAACCCTGTGCTCACCAGGAATGTTCAGCAGCTGAACAGTGATCTAGAGCCACAACAGTACAGAGCTGTACTTGACGAGAACACTCAGGAAGCTCTCATGCTGTGAGTGTCATTTCAGGAAAAGCAGAGGATCTTTCCAAACTGTGCACATAATTAACAATGATACCATTGCTATGTGTTGAAGAGGACTAGTAAATGATGTTCTCTTCCATGTCATCTGTTTGCTGGAAAGTAGTTTGGGTCAAGGTAATTATAACTGGTGCCCTGAGACACACAGTAGTCTCTGTCTAAGAATGTCTCTGACCTATAAATAGGTTCTAATTGGTGATCTTCTTTGTGAATATCTGTTTCATGTAGGCTGCAAGAGAAAAAAATACAAACTCATCACTACATGGCATTGGATACATTTTGGTATATATATTACAAAACTTTTCTCATAGTTCAACCTGTTTAAATCCACTAATCTATCAAAATCTCAATGGAAGGCTACTTGACATGTGGTATGATTAGAAAAAAATTTAATGTGGTAGAAAAAATTAATGCACTAAGTGTGGCCACTTTTTAAGGAATTTGGAAATCAAATTCACTGGCTGAGAAGCTTTTTACTCACCAAAATTTAAGGCCAAAAGTGGAAAGAGCACTTACCAGTCTGAACAAGAATCACAGAAATCCAAAGACATTTCTGGAGGACAATCCTGGCAGTGCCACCGAACACCCTGGATAGGTTCTATGCCACAGTTATCACACTACGACAGATTCAGACAGAAAAAGTATTAAGCTATATTGTTTCAGAACCATTTTTTATTTTCTGCTGGGAAGCAAATAATGTGCACATAGACATTTCCTCTTTCCCCATTCAATGAATAATTGTATAATACAAAAATTGCTGTAAGTTAGATAGAATATCTGGCAAACAAGGTAATGGTCCATCCACTCAAGATCAAGATACAGGTGGGTGAGAAGAGCACTATAAAAGAATAATCTTCAACATACTATCTATAATTTAAGAAGTTTTTAAGTAAATCATCTCAAACTTGGGTATTCTGTTATTAGTACCATTTACTTAAAACTAGGGTATGATATTTGTGATGCCATAGTTAAAACTACCCAAATTTAGATAACCGAACTATATTAACAGGTTATCACCATTAACATAAATTCATGCAACTATGAAATCCTTTCTGAACTTTCATCTTTCTTAATCACACTCCAAAGCCAAAAGACTCCTAACAACCAATGCCCATTGTGACAAAAGGCAGATCCCACTCTCTCTCAGTGTGGGCATTATGAAAGCCCTCAGTGTATACTGTGGAATTTGGGAAATCAAAGTACATCTCATATAGATTCTTTCTTCAGACCAACTGGAGTAGCTGACAAACTGGCCAACAAGCCATTGCTGGTTCCTACAACAAAAAGATGAGAAGAGGAGAAAGTTTCCTTTTGAAAGGCCAGAGCTGCCAGTTAAGAAACTCACTAACTGGAGAAGTGTGGTCACTGAAAGATTAAGAGGAAAAACCATCTAATAGAGAATGGCTGCTCCAAAGGATCAGAGGTACAATTTTGTTTTCCATTTAGGTTATCAAGCACAGCACACATCAGTAAGTTTATGTATACTACCAACAGAAACACCAACATCAAGTTGCAGTCTCTAAATCCACTGTCTTGCTAAAGGTTATCAAACCTAAGAGTTAAGTCATGAGAATGAATTTTCTGAAATGCAAATTTCATGTTACTCTCCATTTAAAAATCTTTCAATGGCTCCCCAACCTCTTAAGATCTATAAACTCCTGGCAAAATTCCCAAAATTTCTCACTGGAGAGTCTCTGAAATACTCTCCAGTGTGCACTCAACTATTTTATTTGTTTTATTTCTCTAAATCCTTACGAGAATGAAAACACCTTGAGGGCAGTAAGTGAGTCCATCTCATTTACTCCTGAACCTCTAGCACTTAGCAAGTACCTAAAATGAGTGGATGTATTCCTATGAGCTGTTGAAAACAACACTGAGATGACTTAATCTGAAATGGAGGGAGGGGGGTTGTTTCAATCCATAAATAATAGCAAAAAGAGAACTAGAAAAACCTTCTCATCTTATACTTCACCTCAAATTGTAGATATCTGTATGTTGCTTTCTCTGCACTGAATCATAAACCTCTTGACACAAGAACTGCAAAACACTACTTAATATAAATTAATAGGACAAGAGATAGACTTACTAACCTTTCCCTGAATGCTTAAAAGTTTTAGAGTTTAACAGTCCAGAAACCATTTAAATTACCTCTTACCACCCTTTCCATTTATTAAAATGGATAATAAAATTATTTAGTTTACCTTGAAGCCCACATGCTGCACAAACCCACTTTCAGCTTGTATTTGCTGAAGTTTCTGCTTCTTTAACTTTTTAAGTTGTAATAGTTCTTTATATTCAGGTAAATTCCTATACATAATAGGAATACTTTCTTCATCCTGTTGAATAGTAAAACACAAAACAAAATTGTTAGTTTGACAGTTAAAACGAATTAAGTGTAAGAAATACTGGTATACATTGTTTTTCTTTCTTTTTTTTTTTTGAGAGATTTCAAGGAACTTTTTTTTAAATGAATTTTTTATTAGGATATATTCATTATATAGGGGGGATGTGTAGTAACAATTCTGATTAGTCTTACATTGTACATTATTTACATTGCCTCCATCATCTCTCCCATCAGCACCCCCACCCCCATCCCACTTAAAGCAATTGCAAGAGGGTTTTTAGTTCTGTTTCATATAGGTGTATGAAGTCCATTAACCATATACCATCACCTTAATCTTCTTCCTAATCTCCCCTCTCTCCACATTGTTTCTTTTTTATCGACAAATATTTTTCACTTTTAAGATACCTCACCTTTTAAGAGCTCAAAGGGATGGTGCTATTAGCAATGCTGCTATTAGCAACAGTTGACACTAATACTTGGGGAGGACATTTAATGCAGTTGTAATGTTAAATTGTGTTAGACAACCTCACAATGTAGAAGGAAAGGGAACAGGCATGACTGTACCTCTGTTGTATACTAAGGCAAACCCAACCCAGAGCTACACATTCATGGCTACTTCAGAGATTCCTTATAATCTACTCTTCTGTACTAAGCAGGAAGTTACTCTTTTCCAGTTCAAAAGATTTTTATACTTACTCCTGTAAGAATGACATTTTCTTTTCTTTCTTTTTTTCTTTTGGTGTGACTGAGGTTTAAACTCAGGGCTTCACTCTTGAGAAAGCAGACACTCTTACCACTTGAGCCACCCCTCCAGTTCATTTTTCTCTGGTTATTTTGGAGATGGGGTCTTATGAACTATTTGCCCAGGCTAGCCTCAAACCCTGATTCTCCCAATCTCAGCCTCCCAAGTAACTAGGATTACAGGCATGAGCCACTGGTGCCTGGCTGACATTTTCTTATAAGCACACAGCAAACAAATCTCTGCCCTCGATAACTTACTGAGGCTTCTTCAACAGCAGTGTTCATATGGCTATGAAAACATGATCGGTCATCATCTTCGTCCATATACACTGGAGGTTCATGTGAAGTCATGAAAGTGGAAGGTTTAAAGAGATGCTTATTTAAGGGGTGCTGTCGTCTGCTTGTTGAAGACTAAGTGAGAGAACAAATTTTTAATTGCAACAGTGAAAATAATTAGAAGTAGCAAAATATAAAATACAAAAACATAAATGTCACTCCCATCAAGTCTATCAGAAGGATTTCACTTCTACCATTTAGTATTCGCTCACATCACTGCTTTTTCTATGTTGTCAGGATCTTAAAGCACAACTAGCCTTAAGAAAAAAACAACAACAAACCCACACACCAGAAATGCAGGGAACTATGCCAGCAACAAAGGCTGGACTCAGTATCTGGCTTCTAGTGGCATCCCCAGCTTTTGTCATGTCTGCATTCACATCCCGGCTGCACTGCACCCTCTAATGGTCACCTTAAGAGGATCACAAGGCAGACAAACAACTACCCATAAAAAGAAAGTTTCCATCATGATGGGTATCTGAAAATAATTAACTCTGACTGACTGCTCATTTCATGCCACTATTATTTAATCCTATAACCACTATATAAAGAACTTATTATCACCTCTTACTTAAAGGTAAAGAAACTGAGGCACAGGGAAATTAAGTTTCTTGTTCAGTGTGTTGCAGTTAGATAATGGTAGAACCAGGATTACAAAGCAGACCTATGTGATGCCAAAGTCCTCAGTCTTAACCACTGTGCACAGTGCCTCTCGTGATCAACAGGACAGGCACAAAGAATACTTGTGCTTCATGGAGAATCATCATTTCACCCATTTCAAAATTTAAACTCTGACCATAGCAAAGGACTATTGTGATTATGGTTGTGCTAGATCTACAAAGCCAAAATGTCTAGCAACTTAAAATATGGAATACTCAAAGAAAGGAACACATTTAGGTTTCTCCAGTATTCCTGTTGCTGTTGTCATCCAGCCTTAGCTGTGAAAACACAGGGTACAAAACACAACACACTTATAAATTGGCTTAGAAATTAATCATGGAAATTATAGCTGTTAGGCTGAACTCTATATATATATTTAAAAAGCTAACTATGAGGAGGAAATCTAAAATATTTAAAGCATTTGGCAAATAGAAATAAGCATCAAAAGCCTGGCTAAAAGCAACTTTAAAATCTTGTAAAACATGCAGTAATATAGACAATTTTCTTAATATAAAATTACATAAAATAGCTTCCTTCCATCAGGAAAGGTAATATTAAATAGGCTCTTTGCTTCTCTTTATGTGAAGGATGGCAGTGGTGGGGGAGAGGAATTATCAGAAGATTTATTAAGGAAATTAAAGAAAGCCATTTAGGTGGTTTTATTTTTTCCAATTGCAACAAAAAAACTGGCTACAGTTTAAAGCAATATTCTATATAGGAAAAACAGGAGACGGTTTGCTGTAGAAAGCAGCAGGGAATAGTGGGAAAGGTTTGGTATCAGAATCAGAGAGTCAACTGGTCCTAGATTCACGATGTAACAAGAAAATTTACTCAACATACCAGTCTCCTTATCTATAAAAAGGTCTCAGTAGCTATTAATATTATCATCAGTAAAGTAAATGTGATAGTATTACTTATACTTCTAGAACCCCAGTGAAATTAGATGCCTCAATTTCCATTTTTGGATCTATGCAACATAACTACGAAACAGAAACAGTATACTTTTTTGGGGAAATGGCTGTACTGGGGTTGGAATTCAAGACTTCAAGTGGTCTACCTCAAGTCACACCTCTACCCCTTTCAGCTTTAGTTGTTCTTCAGACAGAGCTTTGCCTCATGTTTTGCCTGTGCCAACTGTTATCCTCCAACCTACACCTCCTATGTAGCTGAGATTATAGGCTTGCACCACCATGCCCAGCTTGTTCTCTGAAATAGAATCTCACTAACTTTTTTACCTGGGCTGGCCTTGAACTGCATTTCTTCTATGTCTACCTTCCAAGTAGCTGGGATTACAGACATGAGCCATAGCACCTAGCCTCTGATTATAATTTTTTAAAGAGTCAAACACTGTAAAAATTTCAACCTTGCAAAGGCCTTCCTAATATATAGACTCAAAATAAAATCTTTTCAGCAGCACTCACTCATATTACTTCAAAGGAAATAATGAAGAATCACTACAACTCACTGAATTTTTCTAAGTGGTAATAATGGAATCCTATCCTGCATTTATACCCAACATAATGAAATGCTTACAATGAACAGAATTTTTTAAATAAAACTTTAGTTTGACAAATACACACATTTGTAATAGCAATTCTGATTTCAATGAATTTAAGCTGAGGTTTGCTTTCATCTGTTTTTCTTTTTTTTACCTTTTTGGAGTAAATATATAAGTTTGGTGTTCTGCCTGGAACTGGAATGCCAGCTTTCGTTAGCTTTATGAAATACTTCTGTACTCGACTGGCAACCTAAGGAAACAGGACAAACTTTTAACACAATAAGATGGCATGTGGTACTTTAGTTGTTTTAAAAATTAAAATGTACTTATATATCTAGTGAGTGCTAATTTAAAATCATCATAAATCTAGAAACAACTTTAAATGGTCATCAAAAACATTTATACTTAACAAATCTAGATAAAAGTGATTTAAGTAAGATTTAAACCTGTATGATTCCAAAGCCAATAAGCACATATTTTCAACTTGTGAACATCATGCTTGTAGCATGATGTAAAATGTAAAGAAATAAGCATTTTTAGAAGGACAACCAGGAAATACTAAAGCAGTATCTCGTCTACTAACACTGTCTGTACAAAAAGTTCATATTTAATACTTACAGCATTCCAGAGATATTAAGTCCATTATATTCTTATTTTTAGTATTTTATAAGTATCCAAAGCAGGATAATCTCAAGCTGTTTCTGAAATCTACATAAAAATGTAGAATGCTAATACTTTTGTATTGAATACCTCTACTACAACTAGAGCTGGTATGGCAGACCTGCTGTGTCGGCTACATTATTCTTCATTAAAAACTACCAAGACCGCCAGCAATCTGCAACCACCTCCCCATCACCTGTTTTGCTGTCCTGTTGCCCAGTTCATCTGCAATCTTCTGCCAGCGTCGAGATTCCACTTCTTCAGGAGGGTATTTCAGGAGCAGCTGTTCAAGTTTTTTCTAAACCAAACCCAAGACCAAATTTAAGAAAAAAGGTATTCCATTTAAAATACTGAATTTCTAAATATATGCCTTCACATTTCATTTCAAAAGTATAATATTCATTTCCCAATTTGGGTGATTACAAATCCTCATGGTAGCAAAAATTTCTAGTTAGGAACTTAAGACTTCACAGGAAAAATGAGATTAGAGAACATACTGTGAAAGACCTTGTGAAGGTATTCTATTCACGTCAGTAACAAGACGAACAAGAAAACAAATGAGTAAATTTGTATTTTTGACACCTTAGTGATTTCCATTGACCATCTTATTTTGTTAGAATATGTCAAGTGTTTCCCTACAGTTTTTAAAAAATGTTTAAGTTCATTGGGTTTAGAGTATTAAAAAAGGCTTTTTCCTCTTTTTGTGTGGTCTTCAAATACTTAATACTTTAACATGTCTTCAAAATTCTCACATAGTGCTAAGGATGTACGATAATCTGGATGTTTGAAATAAAGTTTTCCTAAAGCTTTTTATAAACTGCTAAACTTCTAACTGTGGGGTTAATATCCATATGAGTCAGAGATGCGTCTCACACTTCACCCGCAAACAATCCTAGCCACATGCCAAAATGTAGCAATACTCAGCGTGGCTTTATCAGTTCCCCACCACAAAAAAATTTAAAATACACTTTGAAGTTCAGCTTTACTTGTCTTGAGATTTTTTTTCTCTCTCCCAAAGCTGCATTATAAAAGCATTCACTTTATCCCATCCATTTCTAACCCCTTCCCTAAACCCAGGTGTCTTCTTTAAAAATTATCTCCAAATAGGAATTCATATATCCTCAAAAATCCAAAACTTTTGAAATGTGCAAAAAGATATACAAAAGTAAGTCTAAATATTTTAAATTCATGGTTAGAAGGGATTGCATACAACAACATACCCTTGACTTGTAATATTGATTCAAATATTCACAGTTCATTAAAAAGATAACTATATAATTTAGAAATATCTATTACCTGCTCTTCAACAGTCCACAGCTGGTTAAATGTTTCAGGTTTGGTATCATCACACAGGCGCCCTCTTATCATCTGCACATAAAACAAGGCATTTAACAAATGGAAAACAACAAAGACTTTGATATAAACAAATAATACATGAACTATGGAACTTTTATGTATTTAAAAAATCTTGATAAATTTATTTATAATGTATGTAAAAATTTTTACTGCTTGAAAAATGCTTTCACATTCTTGTACTTCATTTGGTTTTCTACTCCTAAAAATCTTTGTCACATAGGTGGTAAGTAACTCCTTTTTTAAAAAAGGAAATGTAAGCCCAAAATGGAAAAGTAGCATATCTGACTAACAAGGTCAGGACTCAAGTCCCAGTCACATTCCACAAATCACAATGAGCTTTTATTTTCAGAGAAAAACTAGGTCCAACACTGTACCCATTTAATCCCCACGACACAGGACCCGTGCACCCCCATACCCAGCCCCTAGCAGTACTGGGGTTAGAACTCAGGGTTTTGAGCATGCCAGCAAGGCACTCTACCACTGAGTCATGACCTGAACCCCAACATAGGTAACTTTAATTACATTTTATATAAAAGGACGCTGCAACTTGGGGACTTTTCTCTTCACTTCAAAATTATTGTACCCGTCACCTTCCAAGGAAAAGACAACCTAAAGTCAGCAAAATGTTAAAACATTTTGTTTAAGCCTCACATTTTACTACTCCAGTATGTCATACTGCTTACCTGAGGGCGACTGTTCGAACCTTCTGGACCATCACTCAAAGGCAGCATAGAGTATGAAAGAGATTCTCCATCCTTCTTAGGATCTAAAGGACTTTTTGGTCTAGCAGGTAAACCTACTAAACAAAACCATGTACAGAATTATTAAAGCAAGACGTTGCTGGATATTTCTCTAGTTAAAGTCTTATCATGTGATTTCTTACCTTTATCAAAAACTAACTTAACTCTTCTAGTATGCCTTTTTCGATTTTTAAATTCTCTTTCAAAGTTCCCAAGGCTACTGGTATATTGGTCCCATACAATTTCAGGCAACTGAACAACTCTTTGTGGATATGGAAGCCCTATATCAGCCTGGAAAAAAGAACAAGTGAGTCTAAATTTAATTCAAGAAATAATCTAGTACAGGCAAATTTTCAGATGACAGTAAATTATAATCCTCATCAAATGAGCATTTCTATTCACTAACTGAACCCAACAGATAATAAAGTTAATCAAGATAAAATCTAAACAGCAAATGCTAAAGAGGATAACAAGGAAAATGAATTTGGAAAAAAAAAACTACTACTTATAGAGTTCTAAATATGAACTATACAGACATACTGCACTATCACTAACTATTAAAACATAATAGCAAAGCAAAAGAAATACAGCATATGAAATGTGCTGATTGTAACAGATGAGACGTGGCACACAGAGTGCATCTTGAGTGCACCCCATGCAATCTGTAAGCCTTCACGACATTTACAAAATCACAACTTTAATCTTGTTTTCTTTGCAGTGCTAGGGATTAAACCTGGGCCTTGCACATGCCCAGCATACACCCTACACTGAGCTACATCTCCAGTTTGATTATGAATCAAACTGCTAAATTAAATACTGTACACATTTTTTTCTGAGGAACGTAAGTCTTTCGTGCTTATTAAGTATCTGGATTTATAATATACTTCTGTGTTTCTTTGAAAAAAAAATTCTTAAGCTAAGGTGGGTACAATGGTTCAAACATGTAATTCCAGCTCCTAGGGAGGCAGAGATGGGAGGATCACAGTTTGGGGCCACCTTAGACAAAAAAGTTCACAAGACCTCATCTCAACCAACACCTGGGTGCAGTGACAAGCAACTAAGTAAGATCCCATCTCAAAATAATCAGAGAAAAAAGGGCTGCAGTGGTAGAGTGCCTGCCTAGCAAGTGTGAAGCCCCAAGCCCAAATCAGGTGGGAAAAAAAAAAAATCCTTAAGCTAGTGAATATCATATCTTTGTTTGTGAATTACAATAAAAAGAAATCCAGATGGCCAGGTGTCAGTGGCTCACATCTGTAATCCTATCTACCTGAGAGGCTGAGATAGGGAAGACCATGATTAGAGACCAACACAGGCAAATAGATTTTTTTGGTGGTGGTGGTGGTGGTGGTGGTACCAGGGTTTGAACTCAAGGCCTCATACTTGCTAGGCAGGCACTCTATCACTTAAGCCACTCTGCCAGCCCTCAGCCCAGGCAAATAGTTTGTAAGACCTCATCTCTAAAATAATCAGAGCAAAATGGGCTGGAGGCATGACTCAAGTGGTAGTATACCTGTTTGGAAAGTGTGAAGCCCTGAGTTCAAACCCCAGTCCCACATAAACAAAAAAACCCAACATAACAAAAAAATCAGTTCTAAAGTAGACTTAGAAATGAAGACCTACGAGACTGATTACATACAAACCTCACAAATATGCCCAGCTGCTTCTTTTTTCCTACCTGCCAACATAAATGACATTAGTCTACTTCTTATTAATATTTACTTCCCTAGGAATATTTTAATCTATTATAAATTATCATTATAAGTACAATTTCTTTGTGTACAGTAAATTGATTAATAACGAGAAAATCAGTAAACACTTAAAAGGGCTTTGTTTAATAGAAAAGGCAGAATGCACCTCTAAAAATCTTAGAAATTTTAACAAACCAATATACAGTTCTTTATCTACTATAAAATTTAATGTTTTTTCTAAAGCGTGGGGGGGGGGAGGAATGTTTATCACATGACTAATACAGATAGGAAAGCCCAAATAATAAAATATCTAATGAAATGAGGTCACTCCACTTACTCCTCAACATCTGTTAGACTACTTTTGTAGCTCAGTACATAAAGCTAACTCATATAAACATACTTTATTATACAAGGTTAATTTTTTTTTAAATCAGAAGGTTTTTTTCATAATTTTTTGGTTTTAATCTTTTTATATAATACTGACACTAGTCCTCTCAAATATAATAAGCAGAGCTGGAATGCAGCTCAGGGGTAAGTAGAGGACTTACCTGGTATGCACAAGGCCCTTGAGTCCATCGCCAGCATCATATTTAAAGCATATATACATATACATCTATGTGTATATGTGTATACACACATATATGAGTAGATATACATACATGTAAGCATGACATATATATGCATATGCAGGTCTAATATATTGCCTCATTTAAGACACTTATAGCACAAATTCATATCTAGATTATCTCCATATTTACATGGAAAAAAATAACTTTAAAAATTGTTTTACTTTTAAATGTTTAACTGTTAAACTAGAAAATCTGTTTTAAGGAAAACAAAAAATTATGAGGAATTTTGACCAATAAAGGCATTTCAAATAAGATACAATGTATCCATTCCCATGGATATAGTTATCATAACCTTAAACATTTAACAGATTTTTTGTTTTTTTCTCTCAGTTGATAATGCACAAAAGCAGTTAATAAATCTTGATGTACTTTTTTTCTCTTTGGCTTTACTAATCCTGAAGTCCTGAAAGCAGAAGAGGGAAAACACTCTGCTAAGGAATAGGGAAAACATGTTCCTATCCAATGAAAACTTGTAGTCACGTAGTAGCTGACACCTGTAATCCCAGCTACTCAGAAACGGGGACAGGAGGATCACTGTTTGAGTCTAGCCCAGGCAAAAGTTTTCAAAACCGTACCTCAAAAACAAGCTAGGCATGGTGGCACAGGTCTGTGGCTCCAGGTACTAGGGAGGGAGAGATACAAGGACCACTGTTTAAGTCCTGACTGGTTAACGTGAGATCCTATCTTAAAAACAAACTGAAAGCAAAATGGTTGAGGGGCATGGCTCAAGTGGTAGAGTGCTGGTCTAGCAAGCCTGAGGACCTGGGTTCAATCTGCAGAGTTAAAAACAACAACAACAACAACAACAACAACAAAGCCCTTGTAGTTGATTTCTTGAGTAAATTTCATCATGTGTTAGGTAGGAACAGAATTAAGATGGACCTGCCTTCAGTAGTATGGTTAATTGAAGAAGGGAGAAAATTAAATGTTTAAAAGAGCACCTACTCACATAAAAAGAATAAACCAATTTCTCTTAAATTACCAAAAAAATATGAATAAATGTTTAAAAAAATACCAATGTGTACCTTCTTCTGGAGTTTTTCCACAAACCCAATGGGGTTTTTTAGTGCTTCTCTCTGGTGTTTTCCTAAACTTTCCAGATCTTGGACTGCTTGAGAACGCTGAGCTTCAAGTACAGCAATTGTCTGTAGCAGTCTCTGATAACTACAGAGACAAAGAAAACCACCTCACTAAAACTTTCTAGTTACAGCAATAAATAAAAACTGAGTTCAAGCCATGATCCACTATTAAGTCACACAGTCTTTTTAAAGTTACCTGAAAGAGTTTAGTAAAACACATTACTGGGAATAAATGAGGTCTTCCTGAGTTACGAAGTACCTAGTCAGAAAATATCAGTTAGAGAAAGTAAAGCCTTCTTTCCTATCTTAAGTTTTTAATTCTTGAACTTAAACAAGTGCAGAAAATAAAAGGGCATTTTAACTTTCCAGTAATCAAAGTTATGAAGAAACCACTAAATTTTTAAAAATCATAAAATTTCACACTAGGAAGTATCACCAAATCCAGTCCCTCAACTGCACTGTTGGAATAAGGAAACTCAGTACACTTCCTGGCCCACAGTCACGGACAGTGTCACATAATTCAGCCATGATCTGGACTCTCATGATCCTCAACTGCTTTTTCTATTATATCTCCCCTATTTTAGAGATTTATTTTCCTGTCAACAAACTTCACCTTACTGCTCGGCATTAAGATAAAAGACAAGTGTTCAATTCTTATGTATTAAGGCATAAAGATATTTTTTCTGTATGGAAGAGACCATAGTACAGTTGACATATAGTTTTACCCACGTAAAAACATATTGTCAAAAATCTCACTGCATATATGTATACTAATTAATTCATTCTCCCTCACATACTTTCCCTCTCTATCCTTCTCCCTCCCTCTCAAACTGTCTTTCTTATCTCTGGATATCAATACACATATAGAAGATACATGCTAACCGTAAAGCACTAAATGCCCGAATATATTTTGCAAAAAGAATTAAAAGTCACTCCAAATTTACTTTAAAACATGTAGTTAGCCAGGCACTGCTGACTCACACCTACAATCCTAGCTACATGGGAAGCAGGTATCAGGAGGATCGCAGTTCAAGGCCAGCCTGGACAAATAGTTCATGAGACCCTATCTCAAAAATACTCAACAAAAATAGGGCTGGTGGTGGCTCAAACAGTAGAATGCCTCTTTGCACGTATGAAACCCTGAGTTCAAATCCCAGACCCACCAAAAAAACTGAAACCATGTCCTCTGAAGTTAGAAACAACAAAGGTGTCTACTCTTACTACTCTAATTCAATACAGTACTGGAATTTCTAGTCACAGAAATGTCAAGAAAAAGAAATAAAAGGGATTCAACCGGGAAAGGAAGAAGTCAAATTATCACTATTTGCAGATGACATGATCCAATACATAAAAGACCTAAAAGATTCCACCAAAAATCTCCTAATATCTGAAAAATATTTGGGGAATGTACCATGATATAAAATCAACACACAAAAATCAATAGCTTTTCTATATACCAACAATGATTAGACTAAGAAAGAAATAAGGAAAACAATTCCATTCACAACAGACCTCCCCTCCCTCGGGGGAAAAAAATATCTAGGAGGAATAAACTTAACTAAGGAGGTGAAAGCCCTCTACAATGAAAGCTATGAATCTTTGAAGAAAGAAAATGAAGTAGACACCAGAAGATGCAAAGAACTACCATGTTCAACAGATTGGCAGAACTATTATTATTCTGAAAATGGCTATACTACCAAAAGCAAACTACATATTTAATGCAATGCACATCGAAATCCAAATGCTAGTCTTCACAGAAATAGAAAAATCAATCCTAAAATTCATGAGGAAATATAAAAGACCCCCCAACAGTAAAAGTAATCCTGAGAAAAATGAACAATGTTGGAGGTATCACAATATAGGACTTCAAATTACATTACAGAGCCACAGTACAAAAACTGCATAGTAATAGCATAAAAGCAGACACATAGATCAATGGAATAGAAGATTCAGAAATTAATCCACATAGCTACAGCCATCTGATTTTTGACAAAAAAAACAAAGATACATATTGGAGAAAAGACAGAAAACTGAAACTACACCCCTATTCCATACCATCTATAAATATCAATTCAAAATGGATCAAAGATATTAACATATGATTTGAAATTTTATAACTACGACTACGGGAAAACCATGGAATATACAGGAATAGGCAATTACTTTCTGAATAAGACTTATTGCCCAGGAAATAAGAACAAGAACTGACAAATAGGATTGCATCAAATTAAAAAGCTTCTGAACATCAAAGGAAACAATTACCAAAAGTAAAAGACAACCCACAGAGAGAAAATCTTTGCTAGCTATTCAACAAATAAAGGATTAATATCCAGAATATACAATGAATTCAAAAATTAAACACCAAAAGAACAAATAATCAAATCAATAAATGAGAAAATGAATTAACAGACAGCTCTCAGAAGTATAAATGACTAGTAAATACATGAAGAAATGTTCAACATTCCTAGCCAAAAAGGAAATGTAAATCGAAACTACACTGAGATTCATCTCACCCAGTCAGAATGGCTGTCATCAAGAAAACAGGGCAAACACAACAAGGTGATTGGACTTTGATCACAAGATAAAAAAGAGAGCGCACAAGAGAGATATGAGGATAGGTAAGATACCTAAAAAACTAGATAACATTTGTTGCCCTCAACGCAGAAACTAAAGCAGATACCTTAAAAGCAACTAAGACCAAGAAGAGAAGGGGACCAGGAACTAGAGAAAAGGTTAGATCAAGAAGAATTAACCTGGAGGGATTCCAAGATGGCAGCTAGAGGGAGGAAGCAGAAAGCAAGCCTCCTATACTGAAATCTTGGAGAGATGCTGGAGACACACTTTGCAGGCATAATCACTGAGAAGAGGCATAACTTTGACCCCTCCACACCTCCAGCGACGCAGAGAATCTCCACTTCATGTTAAATGGAGAAATCAGGAGGGCCCCCAGGGCCGCCAGTGGCCGGCACCCATACAGCTTGGGAAGATGTGGACCAGGTGAGCTTCACAGTACCACGGTACTCTCACAGACAAGCCTGGGCCAGAGCAGCATAGCGCCCTGGACAGACTGACCTCCACCCGGGGAAAAAAAGAGAAACTGAGTAATAAGCAATAAGAACAATTAAGACACGCTGGAAAGAGGGTGGGGCGCCCTGAGCACTGAAGATTGGGGGAAGGGAATCCTTCCCGGGACTGTAAATAAACAAGCTGGGCAGGCCTCAGAGCCTCTGGCGGGAGCAGGGGCGGGGTGCGCGCCCAGCAACCAGGAGCAGGGAAGCTTGTGAGAGTGGAGCAGGGAAGAAAACTCCACAGGAGAGGAGGGAAGACCCACTTCCCATGTGAACTTTAAATAAACATGGCGGCTGGCAGGAGCAGCAGCACCGCCCAGTAAGCAGGAGCAGGAAAGCTTGTGAAAGTGGCAGTGGGAGGAAAACTGCACAGGAGAGGGGGGGAAGACCCACCTCCCACGTGAACTGTAAATAAACACGCAGGCCTGACAACGTGGGGCAGTGTCACCTTTCCCAGTGCTTGGAAAGGGGAAAGCTTGTAGCAGAGGCTCCCGCACAGGAGAACTCTGAGCAAACAAAGCCTGTGGGACCAGGTGAGTGCTAAGTTCACCCCAGAGACCTGCATAAATAACGCCGCCAGCTACAGCAGGCTGAGAGCAGCAGGCAGGCAAGCCACAGTTGCAGATACCACTCTCAGAACTGTCTCCAGACTCTTTTTTTTCTTTTTCTCCCTACCTTTGATGAGAGAACAACCGAATTACACCTGCAAGCCGAAAAACTTACTGAAACTGTATTGCATTTGAACTTGGGACACTTGGTGGGGCTTTTTTTTTTTTGTGTGTGTGTGTGAGTGTGTAGTTTTGTTCTACTTTATGCATCCCCTTTGATGAGACAACTACAGAACAACATCTGAGGCACCAACTCCAGGACTGGAGATTGAGACGGACACCCAAATTATTAAGACTGAAACTGCATTGCATATAAACTTGGAAGTTTTTTTTTTTTTTTTTTAATTTTCTTTTTCCATTTTATTTTAATTCATTTTTAATATAGATATTTCTTTCATTTACTTATTTTTATTTTTTTATCTTTGATTTTCAATCCTCTCTCTGTCTCTCTAATGTCTGTTCAGCTTACTGTCGATTAGTACACTAACACTCCCTGTTTATACCTTTGAAACTTCTTGTCTGATACCTTGTTCTGCTTTCTCCCTCTTGTCTGTATATTTGTTTTCCCCTTTTCTTTAACTTCTTGCTTTCCATCTCAGCTCACCTTCCATTCTAAATATTACCATTGTTATTATTACAAGCTAGAAAATACTTAATTGCACACAGTACAGGGACAGTAACAACACCAAGACAATGACGGGAAGACAGAAAAAACAGGGAAACCAGTTTCCCCACAGCAAAAAATTAGTACAGGAACCAGAGGGAATGAAGAGAACAGATACTCAGATCCAGACTCCAACAAAATGAAGATAAACTATGCCAAAGGACCCAATGAAGCCCACAAGAATAATTTAAAAGAAGACATACTACAAGTACTCAATGAGAATTTTATAGAGATGATACTGGATAGGGTCAACCAAAATGTACAGGAGACACTCAAGAAATTCCAAGACAACAAAAATAGAGAATTTGAAAAAGCAAAAGAAGAAATAAAGGAAACCATAGAAGCACTGTATAAACACCAAAGTGAAAGAGAACACAATGAATAAACGGATAAATGAACTCAGGACAAAAATAGACAACATTAAAGAGGAAAACTGCCAGGATATGGAAAACCTCAGAAAAAAGAACGAAACAGAACTGCAAAACAAAACGGAAGGCCAATCCAGCAGAATAGAACAAACAGAAGACAGAATCTCAGAACTTGAAGATGAAATGATAATTAAAGGAAAAACTGAAGAACTATTAATTAAACAACTCAAGACCTGTGAAAAGAAAATGCAAGAACTCACGACTCCATCAAAAGACCAAACTTGAGAATCATGGGCATCGAAGAAGGAGAAGAGGTGCAAGCGAAGGGAATGCGTAATATATTCAACAAAATAATAACGGAAAATTTCCCAAATCTAGAGAAAGATATTCCCATACAGATGCAAGAGGCCTCCAGGACACCAAACAGACCAGATCAAAATAGAACTACCCACGACATATCATCATTAAAACAACAAGTTCAGAAACTAAGGAAAGAATATTGAAGGCTGTAAGAGAGAAAAAACAAGTAACATACAAAGGTAAACCCATCAAAATCACAGCAGACTTCTCAACAGAAACATTAAAAGCAAGAAGAGTGGGGTGAGATCTTCCGGGCACTGAATGAAAATAACTTCAACCCCAGGATACTCTACCCAGCAAAACTATCATTCAAAATAGATGGAGCAATAAAAGTCTTCCATGATAAGCAGAAACTAAAACAATATGTGACCACAAAGCCACCATTACAAAAGATTCTGCAAGGGATTCTGCACACAGAAAGTGAAACCCAACTTAACCATGAAAAGGCAGGCAGCACCAA